GAAACAGACTTGAGGTGGGCCAAAGTTTTTTTCCAACCATTTCTTAGTGTTGTCTGCTTTACCTCATCCCACGCACTGGCAATAGTCCAGATAGCTAACTTTATTGTGAAGACTTTATAAAAGTCCTTAAGTGTTCCAAGCTGATTATTAAGACGTCTGGCAAACATCCTCTTGTAGTGGTGTTTAAGGTTCTTAATTATTCCTTGATCCATGGGTTGGATCACTGAAGTTGTATTGGGTGGCAAAAACGTTCCAATAATATTGCCATTTACTAGCTCATTACCTTGTGGATGCGTTGAGCTGTTATCTAGCAGCAGCACAACTTTGCTGTTTTGCGGGAGACCAACACTTTTCAAGTGCTCCTTCACCTCGGGTACAAAGTTCTTATTAAACCACTCGACAAATATTACTCGAGACATCCACGCACTTGGCTGGTTCTTATAAATCACAGGGAGGCACCTGGCTGACTTTAAAGCCCTGGGGTTTTTACTAATTCCAATCACAAGTAATTTTAATTTGTGCGTGCCAGCTGCATTTGCACAGCACAACAAAGAAATTCTCTGTTTGTTCTGTTTATAACCACCTGAAGGATCGTCCTCACCACTATGAGCCATCGTTTCTGTGGGAAGCATACGCCAGTACAAACCTGTCTCATCAGCATTATAAATTTGCTCTGGAGATAAATTTTGTTCCTGCACCATCTCTGCAAATTTACTTACATACTCATCAGCACCAACAATATCAGCAGATTGTCTTTCACCATGCACTTTAATGAACCTAATGCCATGACGGGTTTTAAAACTTCTGAGCCATCCATCACTGTATACACACTTTAGAGTAATTTTCATTGCTTGGTGAAATTCACGCCTTTTCCACGAGCAGCCAGCCTGCCACTGGCTTCTTCGTCACCTCACGTCTCTGTTTGCACCACTCCCACACTGCGTTATCAACACTCTCCACCTTTGCTTTACTTACTACCTTTCTATTTCGTATTGCTTTATCACTTTCACTTCTAGAGAAATAGTAAAAAATGATAGGTTTAGCCTTAAGAAGATAAAAAACAGTACTTTTACTAATGCCATATTCAGCGCACACGACACTTCTCGGGACACTGCTCTCCACCTTCTTAATTATTTAAACTTTCTTCTCAAATGTCATCACTGACCTCTTTCTTTTACGTAACCCGCTTGTTGATGCTTTCACTGACACAATGCGTACATTTGGAGTCGACATGGTGCACGGATGTTCCTTGATTGTGCTGATATGTAAAACAAAGTCACGGAATGAACAATCCAGTCTCCTGACAAATTCAAACAAGGGGAACAATAGGCTGTGAGTCTGTGATGTCACAGGGTAGCAGGCAGCGCCCGACACGGTCAGTGAGCAAACTAAACCATCTCCCATCCACCCACCCACCACCACGGGCCGGCACGATGCTTGGCTGACCGCTTCCTCACCCAAACTTGGTTCGTGTAGGGTAACCCCAACCCCGGCCGACGTGAAGCTTGGCGGACTACTTCCTACCCGAACTTAGTTCGTGTAATGTGACTCCCCAACCCTAATCGGGAAACTGGAAGTTTCGGATAACTAAAGTTCGGGAACCAAATGGTGCTCTGTATACCATTTGACAACCACAGGTGCATACAAAAAAAAAAAAAAAAAAATTCTTCCTAACCTGTTAATTTGTGTTCACTGATCATGGGAAAAATAATAAAAAATCGTAAGTGGCATATATTGCCCACTATAGGGCGGGGAAGTCTGGCAATAAACAGGCGCTGACTCAGCGTGCATCCCAGGCGGTCTGTTGCTTGCCAGCTGTCAGGCCGGAGTTGCCACAAAGAGATAATTACCTAATTATTTCAATGTCTCTGATTGATTTTTTGTAGTTTTTTTGCTGTAATATTATTCAATAGTGTGTAGTGTGATATATTTATATAATAAAATGAGTGAATCATCTCTGTACTCAAAAATATGGTGTGCATATTGTTGATTCAATTATGTTCATCAAACAGTGAACAAATACTTTGTCGGTTATTACACTATATACACAGGTTATATATAAGTATCGGCATGTTTTCTTCACCATAAGCAACTAAGTTGCTATTATGAGTCAAAAAGTAACGAGGAGTGACCGCCGTGTACCAGCCAACCACTCACGCCCTCCCTCAACACCTCACTCGCCCACATTCTCCTCCCACCATACTGTTTTTGCTTTTATTCACTATATACAGACGTTATATATAAGTATCTACATTTGTGTTCACCATAACGAACCACTAAGTTGGCATGTTGAGTGACAGTGGCAGTCTGCCACTGGCTGCTACTTCCTCCCTCCCTCAAGTCACCTGATTCACCCACATTCTCCTCCCACAATACTGTTTTTGCTTTTATTCACTATATACAGACGCTATATATAAGTATCTACATTCGTGTTCACCATAACGAACCACTAAGTTGGTATGCTGAGCGGCAGTGGCAGTGGCAGCCAGTGGCAGCCCGCCACTGGCTGCCACTCCCTCCCTACCTCACCTCACCTGACTTGCCACCATTCTCCTCCCACCATACTGTTTTTTGCTTTTATATACAGACGTTATATATAAGTATTTACATGTTTTGTTCACCATAACTGTACATCTAAGCTTGTATGGTGAGTAAAGGCACAAAGACGTAGGAACTCACACAGTGAGCTTGCTGCGCCCTCAAGGCCAGACGCACTAATATTTCTCCTCCAACAATACAGTTTGTGGTGTTATTACGCTATATACATACATTATATATAAATATCTACCTGTTTTATTCACCATACTTGTACAAGTATACTGGTATGGTGCCCAAAGACCATCGTGGTCACCAGTAAACAACATGATAAATCGTGCAGACGACGCCACTGCCCTCACCAAAATGGCGGCTCCCAACCTACTCCTCTTGCTGTTTATACCTTCTATACACACGTTATATATAAGTATCTACATTTGTGTTCACCATAGCAAACCACTAAGCTAGTATGGTGAGTACAGTCAATGAAAGGTGGCCACACACAGAAGACAACGCCACTACCCTCCCTCCCACAGCATTACTCCTCCCTCCATGCAGCACAGTGCTAAATATCACCACAATCCTGCTATTATCAGAACCCTGGTCAGTTTTATCACAGTCAGGGGTCTTCTGTAATAATATCATCGCTACATAATAGCATGAACAAGTATATTATGGCATTTTTAGGCGATGCTGTGGTCACAAGCTGAACAGCACTGCTGTGAACTCATGCTGCGTGCGTCAGGTTTGGTAGCTCTGTTCCCTTCTCTGTTGAAGGGGTGCTGGGGGAGCAGCTTGCTCTGTTGACTCTCGCATGGTCCCGCTGTTGGTGGGCGCATTTGGTTGTCTTCCAGTCTCTGGTGACGTCGGTGGATGGCTTCTCCCCCTTTGGGGGGATTCAGAGCTGGCGGGGTGGGCTTTTTTTCCCTGCGCTTCGTCATGTCATCTTAGTGGGTGCACTGGACGTGGTCGATCCACCCCATCCCTCTGGGGTTCCCGTCTGCTCTTTGCAGTCATGGGCCTCTCGCATCTGCGGTTCTTCTGGACTTCTTCAGTCTGCGCCCTGGATTCTATGCCCTCCTCGGAGGACTGTTGTCTCCTGTCCGGCTTCTGTTGGGGCCGGGTGCCTGGATGGTGGCCCTGGACGTCCAGGTCACTTCTTGGCACGTTCCTCTCCAGTTTTCCAGGACTGGCACAGTTGGTGATGGGGCTTCAGGCTTGCTGTTTTTGTTGCCTTCCCTATTTTGTAATTGGTACTTGGTGTATTTTTTTGCATCTTTACCGGATCTTGGTGCCCTGTCTGAGTCTGCTTGAGATTCGGTGTCTGGCCTACCTCGATGACTGGCTGGTGTGGGCTCCCAGTCAGTCCGCTTGTCTGCTCGCCAGGGGTGTGGTTCTTTCCAGATCGCCGGGTTTGGTTTCCTGGCGATCTGGAGGCCATTCCATCTGTTTCCGTCCTGGGTTTGGACCTGGGCCTTGTTTATGGCTATTGGGCCATGCCTTGTCTTTCCCTCCAGAATTGTTACTGCGGCTGTGGTTCCACCTTCGGCTGTTCATGAGGGGATCCCGGGTTGCTCGAACAGTTGTGCGTGAGCCTGAACTTCGACGTGCTGGTCTGCCCGCGGGGTCGAGTTTGACTTCGGTGTCTGTTTCGTCCCTTCGGAGACTTCCCTTCTACCTCTTGCAATCGTTGGGTTCGTTCCTCCGGGGATCTTGTGTTGGTACTGTGTCACCAGCTTCCTCTTTGGGGTTTTCGGGATTCTGTGCGTTGGCACCTCCCCGAGCCTTCGCTTGATGTGTTCACGGTCGGGTCATCTCTCGGCTTGGGCTTTGTGACCAGTGCTCACCAGGTCGGCTGGGGATGGTGGAGTCTGTCCGTCCGTCGGGCTCATAGCATGGTCCGTCGGGCTCATAGAGAGTTTCTATCTCTCTGTTCGGTTTTTTGTTTTAGTTTTTTACCATGTGGGGGTTTGTTTTGTTACGCCTATCTTTCTGGGTGCCTAACCCTGGTCGATGGCAGATAAGGAAAACCCCAACCACAAGGGGGTTTTCCAGGGCCATTGCTCCCTGAAAGCTCTCTGAAGGGGCCAGGTTCTGGCACTGGTCCCTGATAGGTCTGAACTCCATAGCTAATGTCCCGGTCTAATATAACATACATTAGCCCGATAAGCTCCAGGGAGCCTCCGGGGCTTACCCAGAAAATGGCATTTCATTACATTCAACGCTGGTTTTTTTGTTAGACAGACAAGGTGATATCTTTTAATGAAAGTTGCCCTTTAAGGATTTAGTTATACTAACAACTACTTTAGCATGTTTGGTTAGTGTTGCTTACAACTACCTCATTTAGTTAGTTCTAGTTCTTCACCATCTTTAGTAATAAAAACTTGTGCACAGTATTCCACCAAAATAGCCATGAATAATTTTTGTTTTTAAACAACACTGAAATGAATATTCTCAATTTCCAGAGCCCGAGAATTTGTAATGAAGGATCTCTACACATTTGACAGTTCAGAAGCAGCAGCAAACATCACCTATACAAAAATATGTAGTGCTTATGATAGAATTTTTCAGAGAATTGGTATCCCCTACTTAAAAGGTAATTAATTTGGTTATACAGTACTGTATACTGTATGTACATAATACTTTTATCAGTTTTTTGGTAGATATAAGAGGAAGTGAAGTGTAAGTCTCTTGTGACCAATAAATTGTAAGGTGCTGTTGTATTTTGAAGCAATCTGTTAATTTTATCTCACTGTCTGCACCTGGATTGTTTCTGAATGGGGTTCTGGGAGTTGTTGTACTTCCCAAGCCCAGCCTGGGGCCAGGCTTGACTTGGGAGAGCTTGGTTCAACAGGCAGTTGCTTGGAGTGACCTGCAAGTCCATATATCCAGTATTGCCCAGTTGGTCCTGTACTTCTTGCAGAAACCTGTCCAGTGTTTTTTTTCACGGGGGAGCCCCTTCAACTCCCCGAAACTATCCAGGCTGATATGGATTTATTAGACTTTGGCCTTAATGGAGTTCTGTGCCTACCGGGGACCACGAGCCAGAACCTGGTCCCCCTCAGAAAAGGCATAAGGAGCAATGGCCTATAGAAATCTCCCATGTGGCTGGGAACATTCTACGTTTGCCATCGACTGGGTCAGGCATCTAAAAAGATAGACGCCCCCCAAAACAAATCCCTATTCTGGTTAAAATATTGCTACTGAAAGCCGATCTAGTGGACAGAACTCCCCAAATGAAAATGAGCAAATTAGCATGACATCACCATGTCATCGCGCCGCTGTCTGCGCAGCTCCCCCCCCCCCAGGAGAGGGAAGGGGGACCTCCAGACCCTCGCGCCGGTGATCCATGCCTCAGTTTTTTGGCTGATGTAATTGGCAAGGGTCGTGTGACTCTGGATCCTGTTTTCCTGTCCTCCAGCTCTGTGCCATGTGGTGGGGGGTGAGCCAGGAGTAATTTCACAAGTACTCGGACTACATGCGCCTAGGGTCACCTTCCCTAGGTGCCATGTAAGTACTGCCCCTGGGGCTTGGGGTTATCTTCCACAAGTTACCTTGGGGTCTACCTCTGTTGGTCTTTTGCTGTGGCGAAGAATGAGACTGCTATACACACAGAAATTAAAATAGTGCGATGCATCAAATCCACAAGGGCCAAGATAAGGGTTTGAACCTACGTCCGGGATGATCCCAGATGCACCTTAGTTGACTGCACTATGTCGTGGCTAGAGTTGGTGGAGTCGTCCTTTTGTCGAGCTCACAGCATAGTGTAGGAGTTCGCAGCAGTGTGGCTTTTGCTTGGGAGGATTTGTGTCACTCGCGGATCGACGATTCAGTTCCATTCTGACTGCTGGAGGGGGGTTCGATGCGGTCCTTGGCTGTTTGGGGCTGGACGCTTTGGGTAATTACCTAAGTGTAAGGTAATTATCCAAAGCGTCCAGCCCCAAACAGCCAAGGACCGCATCGAACCCCTCAGTTCATTACCGCATCAAACTTCCCTCCAGCAGTGACTCATCTGCTGAGTTCTCGGGGTTTGGCTCTCCTGGCGGTTCATATCCAGGGGGTGTCCCACGTCCTGGCGGACGACCTGTCCCGTTTCATTTCCCTGTCCCTGTCCCATTTCCCTGTTCTTTGCGTCAGTTTGGTCAAGGTGTCTTCCGGTATATGTGGCGTCATTTCCCGATTGTGAGGCCGTGAGAGTCGATGCCTTTCGGCTGAACTGGTCGAGGTGGGGTTACCTGTACCTCTTTTTCCCAGTTCAACTGTTGCTCCAGGTCCTAGCTCGCTTGGACCTGGACCTTGGAAGCTTACCAAGGGAGGGTAGCCGTCTTGGATCCTTGGTGGGCAGCCCAGCCTTGGTTTCATGCGCTGCTTACTCGGAATCCAAACACGAAGATCTTCCTGCTGCTCCGCATCTTTCAGCAGATCAATCCGGTCCGGTACAGTGGATGGTTCGATCTCCTCCGCTCTTCTCATCTGGTCTTTTTGACGCGGGTTTATTAACTATTATATGGTGTTCAGGTGGCTTCATTGATGGTGTCCCACCTGCGAGTTTTGTCTTGGCGGCAGTATGAAGTTTCCTGGTGGTGCTTTCGGCACTTTTTGTCTCCTCGTAGGTTGTCTTCGATTTTTTATCAGGGTGTTTTGTCCTCTCTCTTGGTTGTTTCATGACCGTCATCTTGTGCCAAATACTATCGCCTCATATAGTGTGGTGGTGGCGGAGCTGCTTCAGCCTGTGTTCGGGGTGGATATCACTTCTGCTCTGTTCCGCAAGCTTTCTCGGGAGTTGTTTCACATCCGGCCTGCTCATGTGCTGCCTGAGCTGTCCTGGTCGTTGGATCGGGTGCTCTCTTTTCTCTCTTCTCAGTTTGAAGAGGAAAACTGAGAAGAGAACGCAGGGAAAAACCTCATAATTTCCCCACAGCTGCACTCCAGAACACCCCCAAAGCAACGGGGCACGGATTGGATGAAGAAGAGAGCGAGAGGCGAAGCCCCCCCCGAGGGAAAAGGAAGCAGAACACGTGTGCACACTGCCCGGCCCCAAAACAAACCCCCACTGCGTATGCGCAGGACGCGAAAGAAAGTAGCCCAACAAGGCGAGAAGTAGCCCAACCAGGCACGAAGTAGCCCAACAAGGCGAGAAGTAGCCCAACCAGGCATGAAGTAGCCCAACAAGGCGAGAAGTAGCCCAATAAAGCGAGAAGTAGCCCAACAAGGCGAGAAGTAGCCCAACAAGGCGAGAAGTAGCCCAACCGGCTACAAGGAGCCCGAACGGCTACAAGGAGCCCAACCTGTCCAGAACAGAAGAAATCTCGCCTTGTTTGCCTCAAATGGAGGCACACTCTGGGACACGCAGGAGGTAAGCCGCAAAGGCCAACCGCACTGCAGGCGAAGGGATGTGGTTAGCCGAAAACCTCCTGAAGACGGAACCGAAGAAACCACAGGGACACGGAACCGAACCCGGGGAGGAGCATAAACCAAGCCCAAATCGTACGCAGAGGGGGGAAAGAAAACCCCACTCCTCGCAACAGTAAGCCCCGCTCAGAAGGACTGAAATCCAGGCGGGGCGCAATGGAGCCCAAGGTCCCCAAGGCCGCTCTTCCCCAACCCCAGGAGCCTTTGCACCAGGCCCCGGGGCCGAGTCGACCTCCAAAGCCCCGCCCCACAAGAAAAAGCCGGGGCAGCCGAGAGCGCTGAAAGAGAAGGGGCCCACTGGTCAGACCCCGGAGCATCGGCCGGAGGAACAGACTCGAATGCCTCCGCAGCTACCCCGCACGGGGCAACCCCTGCAACTGCCCAAGTCTCAGAACCTCTAACCCCGCCCCGACCCCGAAGCCTGCAGATGCGTAGGGGCCGGAAGCAGGAGGGGGAAAAACAAGGGGGGCGTGGAAAAACCAAGGCCGAAGCGACCAAAACCCCCAAGTCTGGGTCCCTACACAAGCGGGGCAGCATCGGGGCATCCAGGGAAGCGACAAACCAGAGCGCGTTGCAACATCCTACCCTGCAACACGCGAGCTGCCTGCACCCACGGGAATTCATCAGCAGACTGGGTGAATGGAGTCACGAACAAGCAACAAAGCTCGCAGGACTCAAGGGTCGAATGTGTCACCGACCCAACAGGCAGCATGACGGAGGCAAAAACAAGGAGAGTCACCCTGAGACAAAGGGACAGAGCAACCCTCAACTCGCACAAAGCGAGAGGGGACGCAAGGGTCTCCACTACCGGACCCGAGAGCCCCCGGGGGTTTTTCCAGGGCCCCTAGACTAGGTCTGCTAAGGGTTATCCCAGGCAGGGCACTGCTAACCGGTGCCCCAAACTACCAAGCAAACTGCTAAAGCTGAACCCACGGGACGTGTCCACTCGCGAGGGCAAAGCAGGGGGTGCCACCACACAAACGCACCTAATATAATGGTGGGGGGGGGGGGACACAAGGCAGACCCCCCTACCAGGCAAAAACAAATATAAAAGAAAAACCACACAAGTGGACAACGTACCCAGAGAGAACAGAGCCGGCCGCTGTCATAGGTGAAAACTAGCTACGCAGTACCCTGCGCCCCACCAGTGCGATAACTACCACTTACCCCAAGGTAAACAAGGGAGTGAAACCCCCAAACCCTCGGGGCGGCCAAACGCCAAGCAGCGAAAAGCCAACAGAGGTAGACCCAAGGTGACTTGTGGAAGGCAACCCCAAGCCCCAAGGGCGGTACTTACAGGGCACTCAGGGAAGGTGACCCTAAGCACATGCAGCCCGAGTACCTGAGAATACTACTCCCAGCTCACACGACCACCGTAAGAGCAGCACTGCAAACAAGTCACAGCACTGAGACAAGACTGGAGCTGGAGCCACACGACCGTGCATTATCCCATCAGCCGAGGAACTGGGGCGGGGATCGCCGGCGCGGGGGTCTGGGGCTCCCCCTTCCCCCTCCCGGGGAGGGGGGAGCTGCGCAGACATGCGGCGCGGCTCGTGTGACGTCATGCTTGTTAGTTGGTTTTCCTGGGGGAGTTCTGTCCACTCGTTTGTCGATTTTGTTGTTAACCAGAATAGGGGTTTGTTTTGTGGCGCTTACCTTTCTGGGTGCCTGTCCCGGTCGATGGCAGATATAGAATGCTCCAAATCACATGTGCATTTCTATGGGCCATTGCTCCCTGTGCCTCTCTGAGGGGGCCAGGTTCTGGCTTGTGGTCCCCGGTAGGCCTAGAACTCCACCCACATCGACTGATGCAAAATAGTTATGGTATCCATATCAGCCATGGATAGCTCCGGGGAGTCTCCGGGACTCACCCAGAAAATGGCGTTTCATTACATTCAACGCTGGTTTTTTGCCCTCTCTTGTTTGAGGCTTCTGCCGTCGCTCAGTATATTCAGGCTGCTTCGGCTTCTTGCCGTCCAATGTCGGACTTGCTGGTTTTCCGAGGGTCCCATGGTGAACCTTCCTGGAAGGGTCGTGCCAAGGCTCGGGGTTCCTTTCATTGTGGCAGGCCACTGGTGTCAGGTTTGGGTTCGGCTCCTCCTTCGGACCCCGCCTTCGTCTGGTCAGCACGGTGTTTGCTCTGTGCGAGGTTCTGGGTCTCGTAAGGGGCGCCGGCCCTTTTGC